TATTCGAGCACAGACTGCTAGTTTTGTATTTCCCAGTGTTTTTGTTTTTCTCTTGAGGTTATTCTTTCTTTTCCCAGACTTCCCTTTTTGACATTTTTTGTGACTTTGTGGTCTCTGCAGTTCGTAGGTATCTTCTGAGTCATTTCCTGTTTTACTTTGACAGTCGTCTCTTGTGTCTTGCTTTGAATTTTGCTTCCCCCAGTGATAGTTTCGATTCTCTACACATGTGCTGCGTTCTCCCATTCTGAATTCAGCCTGGATCCACTTCAGAACTAAAACCTACCTAACATACCTGTCAGACAGCTGTTAACTCAAAATGTTTATTATTTTTATTATTATTGTTGTTGTTTTACCAGGTTGTTATTTTTATCACTTGTGCATTTAGTCTATAGGTCTTTACCAGGTAGATGAACTGCAAATTTGGACATTTCCTTGATGGTTAGATTTTTCAGTCCTGGAAATTCTCACTGAAAAAAACAAATATATAAAAAATATCCTGTAATTGTTATTAGAGGAGATCTGATCTTTTTGTCCTTGTTCTGCTTATAGCTGCTTCAACTAGGGGCTGTGGTAGCAGCATCATCTGCCTTCATCTCTACCTCACTCTAGTGCAAGCATGCACGCCCTCCTTCACTACATCCATGAACCTTTTCAGTGACCATTCTCTTTGCTTCCTGACCCCTGACCGGCAGCATTTAAACTCCCCACTCCTGCCCATCGTTGTCCCATTGCCTCTAAACAGACAGAGGTGGGAGGTGGCCTTTCTCTAAATTTATTTAGCAGAACAAAATGCAAATGTGTTCTGTTGATGAATGCATTTTACACAAAGATCAATTTAGACTTAAAAAACGAGTGCAGATCTGCAGAGCAATCTCTGCATAAACACTAGGGCTGCAACGATTCATCATGTATCCTGAAAAACTCGATTATAAAAAATCCCACATTTTTTTGCTGTGATGCTTCCTTTTTACACACGGCTCTGTAGTGCCGAGTGTTCACCACGTAAATTCGAGAATTTCTCTCACATTTGCAACTGACAACAGACTTGCAATAGAAACACAACTATGAATAAAAAGCATGCCAACATTAAGCTCATGTGGCCACAAGTTTTTTCAAAGAAAAGAGGTGGAGTCGTTACCGCGATGGTCACATCATGTAAAGTGAAAGAAAACGTATTTCTATTCAATTTTTATTTATACAGCACCAAATCACAACAACAGTCGCCTCAAGGCACTTTATATTGTACAGTAGACCCTACAATAATACAGAGAAAAACCCAACAATCATATGACCCCCTATGAACAAGCACTTTGGCGACAGTGGGAAGGAAAAATTCCCTTTTAACAGGAAGAAACCTCCAGCAGAACCAGGCTCAGGGAGGGGCGGGGCCATCTGCTGCGATCTACTGTAAAGACCTGCATTTTTTTCCTGTTTTGAATATTTATTATTCTCATTAATAATAATTTGTCATCTGATTTCTCAATCAAAAAATTAATAGAACACTCAATAGTTACTAAATGTATCGATAGTTGCAGCCCTAGGAAACACACAGTGAGGAGCACCTCCAATTTTGCTGTACATGGATAATAATAAAACTATTCTATTCTACTCTTTTATCACTTTAGAATTCCTTTTTTTAAATTTATCAAATGCCAGACAGTCATAAAGCACATAGGTACAGGTAGAAATGATAGTCTCTTCTTTTTCGTTTTTATAACATTCAATAAACATAAATAACATAGATGGCATGAATACCCCCCCACTCCCTCCCAATAATTTGAAGGTAAATATGTTACAGAAAGATGGATTAACCCATGCCTATTCAACTACGAAGTTAGTGGCCAGATTTTCAAACCGAGGAATTTATCTGGGCCAGATATTTTTTTTTGAAGCCAGTAAGCAGCAGATCATGATCAATTTCAAACCCACACAACTGTACTTGAAAAACAAGTTTTTTTTTATTCCTTTTCCCCTAGTAAATCTGGTGGGACCTCTCACAAATGCACACCAAAAGGTCCATTTAAAAAAAAGGGAGCTATAACTAAACTATTTTTTGCACATTTGAAATAATAATAATAATAACAAAAAACATTTTGATAATTCCTTTCAAATTAAAATAAATATTTCGCTGACCACTCACTTTTCCTGCCATGGATGGAGCCCCATCGTCACAAGTATACAGACACGCTTCATATCCAGACCATTTTCCTCAAAAAGAGCTTAAATCTTCTCAAACATCATTTCGCCAGCTGTGTGTCCCTCTAACGGTAGTAAACCGAGCAATTTCCCATCCAAAAAACGGACATATACAACTGTGCATTATCAGTTCTGTCTGTGATCTCCTGCTATAGACATTACATCAGTTTTCTTCAGGTCATCTAACAGCATTTCAAACTCGTCTGACGCCAGAACTTCAACTCTACGAATATTTGAACTGTCCTACAGGGGTACGTTTTTAATAGCAGATGTCACACTCACTTTTCACCGCATCCACCACGGCCAGCATGCAGTATTTCACCTGTTTCAGAATCTGTGAAAGGCCTTTTCTTCTTCGCCAAGAAGCAAACACGAAGGGAAGATGCTGCAGCTCTCTCTTGGGCTGTACAGGACCCTCACCATGGTAGTACAACTCCGGTTGTAAGATTATTAAACTCGGTAAAATGAATAAGTATTTGTCAGTCCAGGCAGGGTTAAACCGACAGTTTTCATTGTCAATTTTGCGCTTTTGGAGTGAGAAAGACATGCTGTTGTCGCATCATATATTACGATGATTGTTTAATATGTTTACATCACGGTGCATTGTGGGTTAAATATTGCTAGGCTACAAGGAGTGTTGCATTCACAGTCTACACTACGCTGTAGGAATTTTTAATTTTTTTAAAATTAATTAATGAATTCATTTTTTGCGTTTTCTCTGTGTTTCTGCCAGGACCACAGGCAGGGCCACTCGCAGGTTGCTTCTGGGCCGCATTTGGCCCGCGGGCCGCCATTTGAATAGGCTTGGATTAACCCATACAAAAAAAGAGAAAAAAACCAAAAAAACCCCAAAACAAACAAAAACCAAAGAAATAACAAAAAAAAATCAACAATAAAGTGCTAGCGCTCATCCTTGTAGATTAATATTAACATTAATCAACATTAGTTAATATTGCTATTAATGACTACTTGCTCCTCGGTTGAAGTAAATTAATAATGCTGGAGTATCTTAAATGAAGTCTTATGAGGTGGAGCAGCCCCTGCTGGCAATAGCAGGAGAATTTGTGCACGGTCATATGGTGGACTACAAAGAGATTTCTCGCGCTGGTAACTTTTCTAAGTATTTAAGTAACGGTTTCCAGTAAGTAAAAAATCTATCTGACGAGTCTCTGAGGGAAAATTTTATCTTCTCCAGTTTTTGAAGTCCTAGGATGTCATGTAACCAGACTTTGATTAATGATGGCTAAGATGATTTACACAACAAATTCTTTAAGGGCAACAAGAGAAGCAAAGGCAATAAGGTTATTTTGGATAGCTGTGATACGAAGGTTATTTGGTGGTTTGCCAAAAATAGCAATATGTGGAGTCGGAGTTAAATTTATACCTTATATATCTGAAATTGTTTTGAAGAATTGATGCCAAAATTCAGACACACACAGTGGAACCATCCTTTCACCTACACGATGGCGTACAAAGATCCTGTGTAATGTACCAAAGATTTCAAATTTTGATTCATCAGTCCATAAAACCTTCTTGATGCATTCTCAATCATCCAGGAAAACAAATCTCCAAAAGTTGATTCTTTTCATCTGGACGTAGCGTTTTGTGGGAGAAACGTTTCGTCATCATCCAGGTGACGTCTTCAGTCTCAGCTGAGGAGGGCCTAAGGGTACATCTGTCACCATCTTACAATGCTGTGATTGCAGCCATTCCCCAGCTCTCTGTGAATGGGACTCATGGACATTGATCAGTGGTTGTTGATCAGTGGTCATGAGAATTTGCATAATTATGATTAAGGAACTGACCTCCCAGCCCATTGTTCCATCAGTGGGCTGGTTTCAGTCATTATGCACATGTCCTGTTTATAAGATTGGAACCTGCAGTCAGCTGAGACTGAAGACGTCACCTGGATGATGACGAAACGTTTCTCCCACAAAATGCTACGTCCAGATGAACAGAAGCAACTTTTGGAGATCCATAAAACCTTTTTCCAGTCTTCAGTAGTCCATTGGTGGTGTTTCATGGCCCAGACAAGCCTCTTTGTCTTATTTTGATGTCTTAGAGATGGCTTTCTTGGTGCAGCTCATCCTGTCAAACCTGAAGTTTTCTCTTCACAGCTGAAACTGAGACTTGCTCACTACGACCACTATTAAGCTGTGCTTGAAGCTGTTGTCCCGTGAGCCGCCATCACACAAGCTGTTAACTCTCAGAAACTTGTCCTCTGATTCAGTCGTGTCTTTGGGTCTGCAGACCTCAGTGCGCTCGATGGTGAAGGGAACTGTACTCACTGACACTTTGACTTTCTTTGCAGAAACCACATCACTACCTTTATACCATAAATGGAAAAACTGGGGTGTTCTAAAACATTTGACCGGTTGTGTATCTGAATCAAAAACAACACGCTGCTAGCCAACCCTGGTTTATATATATGTTAGCCAAAACTTAAAGGAAGAGTGAAACACAGGTGCACACACACACACACACACACACACACACACACACACACACACACA